AAAATTTACTCACTTTGTAACTCCTGGAGTAGCCCCCACTGTACAGGCCTTGCACCTTTTTAAACTGTTTATGATGCTGGAAAACAACGTCAAAAGAACATTCATTAGACAAATGAATTCAAAAAGATATGTAATTGTTAAATTTCAATTACAAATGATGTAATGATAAAAGTATAGAGAGTAAACCTAGCTACATGGTAACATTGTAGTTACGATAATCCACTATTTGAGTGAAAAACAGTAACTGAATTTTACCTGCTTTTGCCAACATTGGGAAAACCTAAAAAAAATAATTTGTTTAATTAATTTGTTACAATGTTTTATGATACATTACACTTCTCACATGTACAACATTATGGTACTAAAATTACTTAGTATACTTTGTCCCACAACAGAAAAAAAAAACATTAAAACACATAACAATAAGATTGTGTGTAACTGCGGTGATCAATCACATCTTCATATGTTTCTCTGCAGTTCAAATATATGGTCTTTCATATATTCATGTGAATATGATTTATCTTACTTTTGTTACATATTTACATTCCAGAACATTACTTACAATACATGTATACATGTATACTGTATTACAGTACATTACAATGTATTTCTTACTGCTATGTATTATATAAAAGTTCATTTCATGCTGTTCTGCCAATTTAATTAAGGAGAAGTAGTACTTATTCATATATTTTTTTCTTTTTACTGGAAATTACATAACATTAATTTTATAGTTTAAACAAGAAACAAGAAAAAGTGACTATTAGGAAACTATAATGTCAACTAAACAACCCGTTTTACTCTGAGTGAGTCTGACTGAGTATTCTGAGTACCATTTTTCCATCTTGAAGAAATGCAGAAGTAAACTTGACTGCCTGAGATATGAAATGTTATATATCAGAGATCTTAAGGTGGTTCAGTACAGTTTTTTCTGGACCATACCTAGCCTTTTCGATTGGCGTTTTACCAACCTACATCTACATCTACATCTACATCTACATTATGGGGGTCTTGCAAAGGGAGGCATGCTCCCATCACTGCAAGACATTAAATAAAAAAAAAATAAAAAGCAGGGTGGGTGTGGGGGGTAAAAAACCTTAAAAATATATAATAAAATATGTACATAATTTAAAAAGATTACTAAGAAAAGTTAATTAAGATTAAAAAATTGGAACCTAATTAAAATGTCATCATTCTAATCTAAGAGCGTTCTTGAATAATTGACTTTACCTTAACCTTCCCTTACTCTGATCAATGTGCAATCGATCGGGATTTTGTGACACAAGTTTTTTGTGTGTTCGAGCGCCTACTTCATCCACAAATTTAAAAGTGTTCCAGTATATCAATGCTAATGAAACTTTGGAATAAAATTGTTAACATCATCAGGCATATATGGTTAACGTCTTGAAAAATCTATTGAGCCGTTTTTAAGATTTTCCAAAAAGCGTTTAAAATCAAAAATTGTTCTTAATTTATCATGGAAGTGATGTTGAGAAAAAGTCTTGTTCTAGAGATCAAGTTCAGCAATGCGCGACAAAGCACATCCTGAGGCTCCCTTTTTGCTGTGACGTTCCATACAAGACCAGGCTTCTGATGACCAACTTAATTCCACTATCTTTCTGGCACGAGTATTTGGACATTGTTTTCTTTTACAAAGCTGTAAATAATTTAATATATGTAAATAGTGATGCTCTACCGGTTGCTAGGCAACCGGTCAGAATAACAAGATATTCTAGCAATAGCTCTGTCACTTATATACCTAAGAAATGCCGTACTCTCTCCTATCAACGCTCGTTTTTTGTCCGATGTGCTAGAATCTGGAACGTTTTGCCTCAAAGTCTTAAGGAACACAATCAAACACCCCTTGCTTTTAAGAGATCCTTACTAAAATATTATACAAACACTGTAGATATTTTTGATCAAGAAGATATAAGGACGTGGTGGACAATTTGCCCAAAGTGCAATACCGCTAAGACCTTAACGCGCCCACCGCATTGCTGCTTTTAAGCTCC